TACTACGCCGTAAACTTTCGCATAGTTTACATTCCATAATATTACGTAGTACTACGTCATAATGTTACGGAATATTATGAAATACAATTTACGTAATCTTACGGCAGTCTCGTAAGTTTTCGTAATATTACAGAATGTAAGTTTACGCAATATTACGTCCTATTAAATTTACTGATGTATAGGTTAAAACTAATTGCAACGTAAGTTGCAACATTAAAAGTTGCAATATATTAATTATAGTTCCAATCTTTAAGCAATACAAAAAGAAATGATCAACAATATATACAGTAAAAATTACAAGAAAAAGTTTTATGATAAAAAAAAGAATAATCATTTTATTAAGAAAAAGAATAATACTCAAATAAATTATAGACCAAAAAGGAAGATTATATGAAACGGATAAATCACAGAAGAAAATGATTCAAATAAATTAGTTATTAAAGGAAAAAGGATAATTAATTAACCGAATGGAAGGTTAAAGAAAAAGGATAATTAATCAACCGAACGGAGGGTCTTATAAAAAAAAGAAAATATTTGAAAAATAACAAATTGAAGAAGTTACATAAGATGCAAAAAAGTTACACAAAAGCACACTCGTTGGAATGACAAACTGAACCACATGGAAGCATGTGTAACATAAAGGTTATATATAGCATTATAAACGAAACAAAAATCAGAAGAAGAACAGAAGTTAGTAGGAAGTACGGAAGAAAGACAGAAGTCCGAAAAAGTAAGAACGAAAAATTATTATTAATAAAACCTTAAGGAAAACAAGTAAGAATTAATATAACGGAAGTAAAAGTAATATAACAGAAACAGAAGTATGAATTAATACAACGGAATAAAATTAAATAGTAAACAATAAATAATAAATAGTAAACAAATACAAATACGGAATTTAGTAATAAACAACAGAAAATTAAGAATAATAGTAAAAGTAGAAATCATATAATAGAAAATCATGTAGTAAAAATCATGTAATAAATATTATGAAGTGAATTTTATTATATAAAGGCTTAGGATTCCCTCAAGGAATCAAGTCATTCAATTTTTCAAGAATAAAAAAAAAAAAAATTAATTTAATAAATAAACTTTTAACACAAATAAAAATGAATACTTTTGTTTAAAATAATTAATTATTGAACAATAAATTATGGAAATAATAAAGTTATTTTGCTTGTATATAAACTATAATTTTAGAAAAATATTAATGAAGTAATATCGAAATAAAACTTAAAAGGAATAATAAAAATATAATAGAAAGTTAAAGAATATTTAAACACAATGATACGAAGGGAGTAAATAAAAGAATTAAAGAAAATATTAGAAGATAAAAAGGAGAAGTAATATTCAGAAAATATTCGGAAGTAATATTCAGAAATAATATTCAGAAGATATTTGGAAAACACATTCAGAAGAAACATTCAGAGTAACATTCAGAAGTAACATTTGGAAATAACATTTGGAAGATATAAACAGAAAAGATAAATAAAAAATTAATGTTAAGAATAATAAGAATTAAAGAGAAGAAGTATATTAATTTAAGAAAGATAAAGAATAACTTGACTAGAGATTAAACTACAATAACATTGAAAGGAAATTATTGAAGGAAATTATAGCTCAATATGAAGGAAAGATTTTGAGCAATTAAAAATTAATTTGTAAAACAAATCCTCTTGATAATGAGTAGCAAAAATGATCAAGAAGATACAAGCTATGTTGAAACTTATCAAAGTCAAAAATGCTATACATTTATAAAACAAGGGTTATGGCAACTACACTATTCTAATTCTTATTAAACTAGATGTAATCTTTTGCAATGAAGAAAGAAATATTATTCTCCTATCCAAGAATTTTTAAATGATAAACATTAATATAGAAACACTAAACGTCAGATCATTTATTGACAAAAGCAAATAATAATATTTTTCAATCTTTTTCAAATACATTATTTCTCTTTAAAAAATGAATTTCTATTCCCTTTACATCTCAAAAGTTTCATATATTCAATCTTCCACTCAACATTTTATTATTTAATTCACAAAATGATAGACAAAGAATTGGTTATGATACTAGTCTAATTATCAAAAAATCTTACATTGATTATATTTACAAACATGTTTTTATCCAAAAACGTTATCAATTAATTGACTTTCAATTTAAAAACAAAAATCATTTATAAATTATCAACCTCTATACTCCTACATCCAATGACATTTTATGGAAAAAAATTTTTCTAAAGTTATACAACTTATTATGAAATTAAACAATCTTAATATATTAATTATTCTACTTAGAGATCTGAACGCAGAATCTTCTAAAAATAGAACATTAAATTTACTAATAATTGATAGATAACCTCAATTTAACTAATACTCTCTTATTACTATCCTCAAAAATTAATAAGAGCGATCTATTCATATTTAAAGAAAATCATTCGTCATTAATAATAGATCATATTTTTTTTTCATAGATTTTATTTTCAATTTTATCAACATATAGTTCTTTCAGTTGACTCAACTTATTCAAATCATAAGATCATACAAATCAAACTTCACCCTAATACCTTTCACCAGTATTTAAATTAGCCACTATTATCAAAAAACTGACCTTCAATTTTTAATAATATGAATAATAACTAATGGATCAAATTCAGTAATAAAACTGATAAATATTTAGAAAAATCACCATTGGTATACACAAATCTAATTAATTTCGATTCGAAACCTAAGCTTAATTTTACCTGAAATCAACTTCAAAAATATATAATGATGCAACTATGAAAACTGTCCCACATAAATACTTTCTGCATATCAAAAAGATATTTATCTTAAATTGTTAAGAGATACATATATTCACCTCAAATTAGTATAAAAATTATATAAAATTTTGAAAAAATGTATTAAAATTAGCAATTTGATAAAAAATGGACAAAATTTTCTAACTTTTCTTCATTTGCAGATAAAGATAAGGTGATTCATCAATTAACCAGTTTAACCTCAGTTTAGAACCTTAGTTCAATTAGTGCTAATTCTAATTTTTGGAACTTTTAGAAAACTGGTTCTAAACTGAGTTTATAATCAGTTATTTTTGACAAACTGGTTTCATTTTAATAAACCAATTCGTCATCTGATTATTGGAAAATTTGTACTTCTATTATCAAATAGATAATTAGAAAAATCAGAAAAAAGTTTTTTTTTCTCTTTTTTCTAAACCATTAAACCATCAAAATAAGATTTAACTTTTTGCTAACCTTCATATTAGGGATATCTAGTGTTTTTTAATTAAAAAAAAAGAATTATTTTCATCATAGATAATATGTTCAGAACTAATGATGATGACCTAGAAAAAACTGACTTTGAAGATAAATTCATTAGCCAACCTTCTCTTAACTCTACTCCTAAAAAAAGTTCTGTGTAAAAGCATTTTGACAGAAATTCATCAAATTTACCAGGATATAATGTTTGCAAGAAGTGCTCTACAAAATATAAAGTGTCAACAGATGTTTCAACTTTACGAAAATATTTAAAAAAACACAAGTTAAATGTATCTATAAAGAAGCATGGAATATTAGTTATCAAAAGAATAGATCTTTTTAACAAACAAGAATAAGAAAAATGACAATTACCTTATCGAATGGCTGATTTGTGATCTTTAACCTTCGAAATAGCTATATGAAATAACCCAATTAATCTTACTCAAATAATCCTGATTTCTAGATATGATATCCAGAATTATAGCTGAAAGAAAACTCTGTCATCACGTGACCCATTTATTTTGTATCTCAAATTAGATTTTATTATTATGTACATGTAAAAATAAATGGGGTATACGAAATCATTACCGGAAATAGCAACTGATACATATAAAATGCAGGTATATGCAAATTCAAGTAAATTTTATTTGATAACTATCATTGCTTTGAGTAAGAGAAAACTCCTCTCAGATTTTCTTTCACAAAAATTTCTTTTGTGCGAGATTGGAAGGTGACGAAATTGTTTTCCAGATTATATGAGAAAACATTGGCTTGTATCAGTTTATCGGCTATTTCTTTGTTGTTGACAAGCTTAATGAATTCATCATACTCAATTTTTTCATTTTTTACCAACTCATCAACGATGACATTGCTAATAGCATGATTTACTTCGCTCTTCATTATTTGAGCCTGATGAAAGTCATTTTCGATAGAATAGAACACTATTTTATGAATCTCTAAAAGCAAATATTTAAGTGTAATGAGAACGTTCACGCAAAGTTAATGCAAATTACCATTATTATTGTTTAGATAGTAAATACTCTTATCTTTCAATGTCATGCCTTCTTTTATCCAATAACCATATATCTTGAGATCCTTAATCCAGTCACCTAAGAGTTCGATGAGTTGATTGGCGTCCTTTTCCTCAATGTTAAGTTTGCAGAGGTAAATGAGTATCTCTTCGTCAGTTAAATCTCTGATGAAAATAGGTTGTTTATCAGTGCGCGACCAAGATGATCATTCTAGAGTAGAGCAAAGAAGTCATTAGCAAAAAATAAGATACAGATAAATCATTTCATACCATACTTATGCATCATCATACGTGACACTGTTCCCTCACTACTGACAAACACAATGATGCAACTGGACTGGTCAGCATAGAGTTTGTGAGGTCCTGCAGATCCTCTATCATTTTCACATTTTTCTGGCTCAGCTTACTTATGTTGTCGAGGATTAACATTAGTGGTTTGCCATCATTATTTGCTTTGTAATTTTTAGCTCCTCTTTTGAAGGCATCTAGGATACGAAGAAATGGGAACTGTGAAGCTAAAGTGCAGAGCAAATACCAGTACTTTTATACAATTAACCTAACCAGAATTGCTAATTTCTAGAAACTTTTGCCTAAATAATTCAATAAAGCTACAATGCTCATGGAATCCAATAGCATTTGCAAAATTTTCAACAAATTTATTCAATACAGGGGGGACATCAACATAAATGACCCCTTTTCCAACTTCCTTAGCACACTCCCGGACCATTGTGGTCTTCCCGGTTCCGTGGTTCCCTACAACGACGTGATAAGAGCTATGGGTAGATTTCGGCTCGAAAATTCGTCTCAGTTTTTTGATAACATCCTCGCGGTAAATCATCATTTCCCGCGGAACATCAGGTTCTGGACAGGAACCGTGTTCAAAGGCATTAAAGAGAATCCTCTCATTTCGGCGGTTATACCAGTGGGCGAAGCTGAGGTCGACGACAATTCCAGTACCGATCACGATCAACCCATTTATAATCTTCCAAACGGACTAGAAATGTCAAGGTATAAGTCAGAACACACCGTCTAAAGGCCAAAAAAGATTATATTAATCACAAGGACAAAAAGGTACAATACCAAATCCTTTTTTACGCCCTTTTTTATGCTCTCTTTTGCGTTTCTTACTCCAGTATTCAGGGCATCCTTGGCATCTGAGTAGGTATGAGTGTGGCGAGCCTGCGGTGTACAACGGTTATGTATAAGCGACGGCCATATATGTAGCTTAGCCTGTGTGGGCCGAAAACTGTAGGGAAAGAACTCTCGAGCCGCCCTGGTGTTGTACCTGACGAGCATGGGAAAAAAATGATTTTAAAAATTTTTTTCTGATTTATTACAATACCAATAATCTATTCTAAGTTTTAAAAATACTGACTGACTTTGTTATACATGTACAAATTCATGATCTGCTGATCATATGCAGATCACTATGTGGTATAATAGATGATTACTGAAAAAGGAAATACAAACATAATTTTAATATGATAAATTAAAGTTAATTTTATGATGTTATTTTATAGAATAACCACTTTATGTTAAAGTTAAAGTGATCTTAAAGCAATTATGATAATGCAAAAATTGTAATTAACCTTAGATGAAACAATTTATAATGATAAATATATAATTGAAAATAAAAAAGAATGATTTTGTTTTAATACAAAACTGAAAACTTTTTAGTAAATAAAAAAAAAGGTAATAAAATTTATTAATGATAGTTCAAAATTCAATTATATTATTTATTTATATGAAAAAAATTAAAAATTAAAAATCAAAATAATAAAAAAAATAAATCATAATAAAATAAATACTCTATTCTCAGTTAAAAAAAATTTTTTTTAAAAAAAAATGAAAACAATAAAAAGAATAAAAATCCTATGATAAAAATAAAGAAATTTTTAAAAAAAAAAATTGAAAAAAATTGAAAAAACATCTCTACTATACATGAAGTCGAAATGAAAACCCAAAAGTCGAAATGTTTTGACTTTGGAGGTCAAAGTTGAAATGAAAAGTCGAAATGGTTAAAATTATGTCATATCACATGATTTTTTATATATAGAAAAAACAAAAAAATCAAAAGACGTATGATCTCGGTCAATATCGCTCCGATTCATATAAAATAACTACCATTCAATTCCTCATGACTAGACAAATCCAATGAGCTAACATTCATTGATTTTTTGATTATCCTATCTCGAGATATTTGCAATTGTATTTTGAAATCTGGACTCCTTTATTTAAAGTAGAATTTATTGATTTATAATTTTAGCCGATAATACAATTGCGTGTATCTCGTGATTGGATGATCCAAAATCAATAGACGTTAGCTCATTGGTTCCGTCAAGTCGCAAGGAATCGAATGGTCTTTTTTTTTGTATTTTAATGATGCAGTACTACCATAAGTTTATTCAGTTATATTTGAAAAACATTCTGACATTTGAGAATAAAGTATGGCATTCTTTTGATGAGAATACAACTAGTTGTAATTGATATTTAACACAAGAGATAAGGACTATATTAAAAATGTTTTTGAGCTGCTTGTCAGTTAGAGGTTTGTACTTAAGTTTTAAAATAAAGTCATCAATTTCATCTCGAATTTGTTGTTTAATATAAGATTTGTTATAATTTGCAGAGATCCAGATGCCCAGATATCTTGATGATTCAGAAGGTTTCTTTGTTAGAAAAGATATGGGTTTGTTAATAAATTGACTAAATATTAAGATATTTACTTCAGTTGCTACAGAAGTAAGAATAAAAGATTTATCGTGATTGACTTTCATTGAATTCAGATCAAAATAGGATTGAGCAATATTGAATATAGCAGTAAGATTAGTCAAACTATCAGTGATTTATATCATATCATCCATGTATGCAGAGTTGGGTATATGTGCAGTGATCTCAGAAGTATCAGTTTTGGTAATGTCTGGCTGCTATGACACTAACATTTTGTATCCGTAGTTTGACTTTTGAATACATAATAAAAGAGGGTCATAATATATAACCCATAGCAAGAGAGAGATAACTTCTTCTTGATCAATTCCAACTATGATGTCGTAAGGATCAGTATTGCCATATGCAGTGAAAACTGAGTTTTTTGATTCAAAAAAAGGTTTGTAATAACTTTGGTAAAATCAGGAGTGATTTTTAATCTTTTCATCACATATAAACATTAACACGATCATACGCTTTAGACACATTTTAAAACAGAATATATAAATTAGTATGATTGGAATTATCGAAATTGTTATTTAGCTAGTGGTATTTGATAATGTTATTAACTATGTGTAAGGGATCCATAGTTGATTGATGTGATAAACTGGCAAAATTAAGGCCTTTGAGAATATTGTGCTTTATAAAAACGTCTTGCAGTCTTTGATTTAAAATCTTCACAAATGCTTTCTCACTATATCAAGAAGTGTAATTAGACGTGTGTTGTCTAGCTGACAATTCCAGGATTTTGGTTTTGAAATTGGATATACATATGCTAGATTCTATTGTATAGAAGTAAATGAACTGGTAAAGCAAGCACAAATAATAGTATATAAGAACTGATTTATTTTGGAACCAAGTTTCTTTAGCATTTCGTTCATTATTTTTGAGGGTCAGAAGCTTTATTGTCTGGTAAGCATTTCAAAATTGTTAACCAATCATCATAAGAGGGTATATCTATAATTTTAGTATAGCAATCATTTTTGATAGTCTCAATTAGATCATAGTGACTTACCCAATTGTTCCAGTTTGGATTAAAGTTATGTGAATGACTATTTGATACATTTCTATTAGTTAATCCAGCTATGTTTTAAAAATGAGAAGCAATTTGCATTTTAATTTTATCAGGTGCTAATTCTAAATATTGCTCTGGTGTTTTTACATAAATTATGATTCAATCAAGAATAATTGCTTTTCTATTTCTTTCGAGACAAGAATTGATTATTTTAGTTGTGAATTTTTGAAATTGTCATTTTGTTGTTTAATAAACTCTGAGATACTTTCATTATTTTCAGTTCTGGAAATAATCTGTTATTTGGCTTGCATGGATTTAATGATGTCAGATTTTAGTTCAGTTAAGTAATTTAAAGGACAGTTTGCTGAATAGTGATTATTAATCGAGGCTGTAGAAATGAAGTATTGGAAAGCTATTGTTGGTAACGATTTGTGTTCATCAAAGGAGATTGGAAAAGGAGCAAATAACAAAGGTGATTGAATTAAGAATTTGTTAATTTTGTAATAAAGTTTATATAGTTTTTAATGTGTTTGTAAATTGAAGAGTTGGAACAAGTGAATAAAGAGTTGTGACATGAAGTTGTAGTTTGTTTGGATATGTTTTTTTTAGCAGAAGTGAGTACAGTATTAACAAAGAACTTCCAAGTAGCATTGAGAGTATTTTGGGATTCACTGATGTCATTTGCTGTACAATTATTGTATTTTGGATTAGTTTTGATGAGGAGATCCATTTTGTTTGCGAAGAAATCCCATTGAAGTAAAGTAATTTTGTTAAAAAGAAGTAATTTTGTGTTATTTTGAATAGGCGTTAGACAATTGTTTGAAAAAATTATTTTTGTATAGCGATATAAGAAGGGGGAGGTGATCAGATGTGTAGAGGAAAGATGAGTTATTTAAAATGTCAAAGGAAAAAAGGTCATGTGCAAGAGATAAAGAAATGAAAATATAATCGATATGCGAAGAAAATGAGTTAGAAGTTGATGTAAAGGTGGTGGTGAAGGAAGATGTGAAAGGAGAGATTGTGTGAAGGAAACCAAAATTGATAATATTATGAAGAAAACTTTGTAAAATCTTTTTGCATTTAGCTTTGTAATTTCTAGAAAT